TGGAGAGTAGGTGCTGGGGGTGGGGGGAGAGGCTGCGGGGATGGGGGTGATGCGAGAAGGATATTGAGGGATACAGGAAGGTGAAGGGGTTGCTATGGGGGGACTGAGGGTCTAGGGGACAGAGTCGGTTATGGTGATTTGGAAGGCTGAGGGATACTGGGTTGCATGGAATTGGGGATGGGGGACACAGAGGTTTGGAGTGCTTGAGGATGAGGGGGGAACACGGTGAGCATGAGGGCTCTAGAGGACTTGGATGCATCTAGGAGGGAGGAGGCTATGGATGAATGAGGAGTTGGGGGCATGGGGATGCTGTTCTGGGGCAGCTGGGTGGCCCGGGGGTGTGTGGGGAGATATGTGGGCTGAGAATATGTGGGGACTGGGGTGACTGGAGAGACTGGGGTGAACCTTTGGGGGACTTGGTGGATGGTGTGGGAGGTGCAGGAGGCTGGTAAGGGAGTGCAGTCAGAGGCCTGGGAGGGCATGGGGGTACTGGGGGGTGGGGTGTAGGTGTTTGAAGAGTGATTGGAGGGGCTGTGGGGGTTGGCAGGGGTGTGCTGCAGGGTGTGGGGTGCACAGGGTGCTGCGGGGGAGCTGCAGATTTCCCAGGGGAGCTGCAGGAGGGATGGGGGCGATGGGGAGTATGGCAGTGATCTGAGGGTATTCTGGGGACTGGGACAGTGCTGGGGGTGTTGCAGACATGCCACGGGAGGAGGATCTGGGCTACTGTTGCTAGGTGGGCAGGGATGTCAATGCTAGGGCATCTGCACAGACTACCCCTGCCTACAGCTGGAAGTGGGGGCAATGCTGTCAGCAGCTTCTCCATGATCCAGGGGCTACCCTTGGGTGTGGGACTATCTTTCACCCCCTCACATCCCACCTCACAGCCAGTTTACGTCAGCCAGGCTCACTTTGGTGCAGGGGGAAGGAGCCTCCTCAGGGTCATCCTGTCCCAGCCCCTTGGGGGGTGGTCTGGCTTGAGGCCGCAATAACAGGGGACCCTCCCTGGCCCCTATGCTTGGGAGCTGGTGCCTGAGGATCTGGGGAGCCATTCATCTGGGTGTTGGTGCCAGGAGGTTGGGCTATTGGGAGTGGAGGATGTATGTGAGTGCTTCAATCCCCCCGCCTCTTTTTTGCTCTTTTCCCCCAGGCATAGGGAACTGGGGAGGGGGGTGTTGGTGGAGCAGCGCCAGACCCTGCAGCATGGCCCAGCATTGCCTCCCTCCACGTACCCAGTGCCTGGCCTAGTCCATCTCCCCCAGCCTGGTCCAGCTGCCCCCACCCCTCCCCAAACAGCTGCCAAGCTGGGACAGGTGCCTGGTTCCCAGTGCCAGGCTGGGGCTGCACGTTACCGCTGACACAAGTGGAAGAGTTGCCCGGGCGTGAGTCACCCATGCCGCAGCACCTGGCTGCTCCAGAGCGGCCCTGCAATGAGTTGTGTCTGGTCTCAGACTGGGTGAGAAGGTGCTGCCCTGTGGTGGGGCGGTGAGGGGGGACAGAGATGCTGATGCCTCCGTGGCTCTTCCTGCAGTGGCAGTGGACACAACGCTGTGTGTGGAGTGGAAGGAGGTGAAAGCGCTGTCACCGCTGACTGCCACCCGCCCGCTGTCCCGCCTGGCACGACAGGCCTCCTTCGACAGCCAGGACTTCCTCCAGGTACTGCTGAGCCCAGGGGCTGGTACCCCCTGGCAGGACACCCATCCTGGCCGAGGCCAGGGGCACAATGGGCTCTGGTGCCCGCCTGTCCCTGCCAGCTCTCAGCCGGCCTCGGGGCTGCTCTGACGTCAGCTGTGAGCCGGGCTGTATCCTGGGAGAAATCAGTCCACGGTGCCTCGTTGTCATGGCAATGCAATTTGTTGCGCGCCTCCAAATCCTGCATTTCATCCCCCGTGGCCACGGGCTCGGGGCCTGGCAAGGCCAGGATGGGCAACAGGGACACTCAGCAAGGTGTCCTGGCATGGTGGGTGCTGTGGGCACTGTGGAGCCCCACCATAGTGGCCTTGTACGTGCATGCATGTGTGCATGAGCTGGGGAGGATGTTTGGTGGCACCAGCTAGCACAGGGTATCCACATGAGTGTTTGTACAGGCACATGTGTGTACAGTGAGTGTACATGTGTGTGCACTGCATGTCTACATGGAGTGTGCACACTAGCACATGTGTGCATGGCATGAGTTCACATGTGTGCACAGTGAGGAAGCCCTTGTCTGACTGACGGGATGTGTGTGAGTGTGAGTGCAGCAAGTGCATGTGTGTGTTTATGACCAGCGCATGTGTATGAGTGTGTCTGTGTGTCTGCACATGCAGACATGTTTGCACTTAACATGTCTGTGTGTGCACATACGCACATGCTGGTGTAAGATTGCAGGTGTGAGTGCACAGTGTGTGTGTGTGTTTGCAGTCACAACATAGGGGTGTAGCAACAGTGTGGCAGTGTGCACCATCACAGCATGTCACTATCCCTCTGCACGTATGCACATGTGCCCGCAACATGTGTGTGCACAGATGACCCACGGGGTTGGCACTGGAGGGGCAGGGGCAGCAGTGGCAGGGGCTGGGCAGGGTGGCCGGGGCTGTGACGCCCCTGCCCACTCTGGCAGGTCAATGTTGAGGACACTGTCGAGATGCTGCCCAAGTCGCGGCGCGCGCTGACCATCCAGGAGATCGCTGCCCTGGCCCGCTCCTCACTGCACGGTAACTACTTGCCTGGCCTGAGGGTGCCTGGGGTGGGCATCCAGGGAAGGGAGGGGTCTCCTGTGGGCAAGGGGGTTGGGCCTCTTGGAGGTCACCCCTCTGGGTCTGGGGGGACACAAGGGGGTCCCTGATGGCATCCAAGAGGAGGGCATGGGAGTGTTAGGTCCTAAGGGCAGGAGATGGAGGGTGCTGGGTACCAGGGTCGTGGGCCCCATGGAGGGGACTTGAGGTGCCCAGGGGGTGCTGACACAGGGGCACATCTTGCAGGGATCTCACAGGTGGTGAAGGAGCACGTGACGAAGCCGACAGCCATGGCGCAGGGCCGCGTTGCCCACCTCATTGAGTGGAAGGGCTGGGGGAAGCCAGTGGGGCCACCCACTGCCCTGGGGAG